GACACTCGGAGAGACAGGTAGGGAAAGAACCTGACTGGCCCTGTACCCAGGCCTGACCAAGGGACAGGCAGGAAGGCTGCTGAGGTGGGGGTAAGGAGAGAGTTCCCTCTTGATAGAAAGATTGAAGAATAAAGAACTCTTCATTTGGCTGCTAGAGAATGTGAAGTGAGAACATGATGCTTGTTGCTACTACCCTGCTTTGTGCAGCCCTGAAGAGGCAGGCCAAGGCATTTGTAGAAAATCCACCCCAGAGCTCTGATAGCTCTGAATTGCTGAATCAACCATGGGAAAAAAACCTGACTCTGGAATGTTTGTTTCACACTACGTGATAAAATTCCTTGCTTAAGCAACTTACAGTCAGGTTATGTATTAATTGCAGCTGAAATTATTATAATCAAAACACAGAGGATGAAGGAAACATGATAGAATTGAGTAGGTGGAATCCATATTCCTTGATAAATGACAGATTATATACAATGAGGAAAAACAGGGAGTGTAGGATGACTCCCAGGAAATGTATGTCAAAGGGCTTAGGGTGGCATGGTTTACTAAAGACAGGAAACACAGAATAACTTGAGTGAGGAGGGTGGAGAATGAGTAATGAAGTTTGAGACATACCGTGACATGTTAATATCCACTTCTTTAAGACATTCAGATGACTCTACATCATGGGTGTGGGTTATAGTCCCAGAGCGCAGACATTCCATGAATGGAAGACAGAGTAGATAAGAATAAAAGCTTTGATATTTGAATAGCTGTGAGGTATTTCTGTCTGTTTCTAGCATAAATTTCTGTTTCATCTTGCCCCATATCTAAATGCTTATGATGCAGTCCTTTTCTTAGAAACTTATAGCTAATTCAACACAATCACACCTGTATGTCTAATTTCTCCTTTAACTTTTGATTGTTCTATTCTTATATATAAGATAATGCCAGTAATACTATCCTCTGAAAAGGACAGCTAATCAAAGACAAACTCCTGGAGAACACAGTGTTTAAAGGTATACAGAGACATGTTCTCATGAACAGCTAAGAAAGAGAAACAAAAAATATTGGAATCAATCCAAAAAAACTTTAGTAGAAGCCAAAGAACTGAGTTACTCAGAGGAGTCAATGGTGTAAAATGACACACAGGACGTCTTATAAATCAGATCAAAAAGGGTCAGCCACTTGCCTCAGACAAAGAGGTTTGGCCATCAAAAGTCATTTTAGACAGAGACACTATTCATAGAAAACTACTTTCTAATATTAACACTACAGATGGATTATATAAGCATGTACTTTGTGTTTTAATATTACTTTAACTGAAGTTAAAAAATTGGAGGATATTCTTCAGTAAAATTAATACAGTTAAATCAAACTTCAGAATCTCATTTTTTCCAACATCTAATCACGTTACTAATTATAGTTTTAAAAGGAGGAAGGAGATCATCAACATCAAATTAATTTAAAAGGGGTATAATCCTTCCTAAAAACCTTTAAAAGAGAATGGAGAGCAAAATCCCAAACATTTGCTAGTAGAGTAGCCATTCCCAACCCCACTTGCACATCCTGGAGGTAAAACCAGAACAAGATGAGAAAATCTCGCTAACAGCCCCAAATTTGAAAGGGGGTGGGGAGGAGACTAGCCAAGGATGAAGAATGATGAAGAAGCCAACTTTGAAAGAATCTCAGAATTTTGAAGAATATAAAGATCCTCCTGAGATTCCAGGAGCTTAGCAGAATGAGTGACCAAGGCTTTAGCATTTCCAGCCTAGTTTGATCCCCTCAAGCAGAGATTAAAGTGGAATGGGATGAGAAGATGACTGTAAGCAACCAAAGCTACTCACCCTCCCAGTTTAACAGAGATTCCATAGAACCGAAACCTAAAGAGAAGGTGCACAGGCAAGATCCTGTGGGAAGACGGGAAGGTATAGAGGCAGGTGCAGTGGTTAGGAGAAATCTTTGGGAGGCCGGTGCCATGGCTCACTAGGTTAATCCTCCACCTGCAGCACCGGCATCCAATATGGGCACTGGTTCTAGTTCCAGTTGTTCCTCTTCCAGTCCAGCTCTCTGATGTGGCCCGGGAAGGCAGTGGAGGATGGCCCACATGCTTGGGCCCCTGCACCCACATGGGAGACCAAGGAAGCACCTGGTTTCTGACTTCGGATCGGCACAGCGCCAGCCATAGCGGCCATTTGGGGAGTGAACCAACATAAGGAAGACCTTTCTCTGTCTCTCATTGTCTATAATTCTGTCAAATAAATAAAATAAAAAAATGACATGAGGGATACCTTCAGAGACGCCATACTGCAATTTAAAAAAAAAAAAAAAAGGAGAGATCTTTCCCAACTATCAAAGAACAGCCATAGGACCAAAACATAGAATATTCATACTTTGCTTATTCTGACCTGGCAGAATGCAATAACTAGAGCCTAAGAAAAGACAGTTATAATTCAGGGTTAACTTAGGGCTCCAGAGCTCAGTGTTCAATAGGGAGAACAATGTTAAGCCCTAGAGAGTCTGATGTCCTCCTACTCACCCCTAGTTGGGATAGATATACCTCCTGATAATTGGATTAAATTCTGGAGTTAGTTCTGCTGCAGGAGAGGCCCAACCTAACCTCAGTCTGAACACACTCTAACACTCAAGCTAATCTTCAAACTCACCCTCACCGTAATTCCAGCTCAGTATTAACTGTCTCATTTGTAAAATAGGAATCATTTTGGGAACTATTAATCATACCAACTTCCTCCACAGGAAATGCTTAAGGATTAAAAGCAAACAACATATAGAAACATGAACCATGCAAAGAATAGGGCATTGATACAAAATTCTTGTGTGTTATTTTGCATTTAGAAAGTGTATTTATACCTTTTTCTAGGTTAATGATCTTAGAAACCCACAGTTCAGGGCTGAACCACTCTCTCGCACTAATTTTTCTTCCCCACATGTAGATCTGCCAAAAACTTTTGAAAGTACTAAGAGCATGGATGTTCAAGGTGTATGTCTGTTTTCATTGAGACTTTGGCCTCAAGAAAACATTGCCTTGTACAATATTGTATTTTCAAATCGTTGTCTCAATAAAGTTTAATTTGACATTATAGGCTTCATCATATTTTATCAGAACTTTAGTGCCGACTGCAGTTGTTTCATGTTCTGTTAGATACAGCAAACCCACAATTTGTGCCACTTACCTGGAACAAACATTGCCCTCAGCTGTTTGGTAATCAGGTAGAGAGTAACTGAAACACCCCACAGCCTCTATGTAAACACTGGATATTACTAGCTATTCATAACTGCAGCTTGGCATGTTCATGAAATTAAGCAAAGTAATTAATTTAGTTTCAGGCATAAAACAAGTAAATATGCAGGGCTGTCGAAGCAACACGCACATATGAAAACTCATAGAATTATTATCATAACAAAAGTGTGTAGCCTGCAGTGAGAAAGCGCTTTTTAAATTATTTTGTCAAAGAAATACATTTAATTTATCATTAGTAGCCTTAAAGATACAAATTTTAATATTTCTTCCTTATATTAGCAGGCTACTTTCCATATTTATTGACTCTAATTATTGTGTTTGTAAGACCCAAACTAAACTATAACAAATGAGAGGCATCATTTCTTATGTGTGAAAATCTCCTCATTTCACCATTATAAAACATCTAACAGGATACTTCCATTCAAAACAACCTGTTTTCCAGAGTGGATATCATGAGAAGCAAACAAATGATGAACATAAACAAAGCTAGGATGATGAGGAGGAGAAATGGAGGATGGAGGGTTCTCCCTCCTCCAATGATAGCTTAGGCATTTAACTTGCTACCTTGATTAATCTGAAGTAACAAGACAAAGCCATCCTTTGCAAAATGCTTCAAAAATCTTTATATGAAAACCATTTTCTAGAAAGATGGAGAAATGGCATTTTAATCAACTTCCTAATATGCACACCTGGATTTCGAATTTTCAGATGGTTACAAAATTGTATAACCACACCAAATACAATCTTTTACAACTCCAAACACTCATCAGAATCTTGTCATATCATTATTATCATGCATTACACTGCCACTACACAAAAATCTCCACTAATATGTACAGATTGAGGTAGGCATTTGGCTCAACATGTAACCCCCATTCGGGACACTCACATCCCATAATAGAGTCCTTGGGTTGGAGTCCCAGCTCTGCTCCCAGTGCCAGTTTCCTACTAATACAAAAGCCAGGAGGCAGCAGGTGATGGCTCAAGTAGTTGGCCTCTCACACGAGTCTTAGATTGAATTCCCAGCACCCAGTTTCAGCCTGGACCAGCTCTAATCATCGCAAACATTTTGGGAGTAAAACAGCAGATGAGTGCTTAATTTATAGTACACGTACTGGTAAAAAGATGGGCAGCATAGCATTTCATATATTTAAACCTAAAAAGCCATTAAAACTCTAGGTTAAGAAATTGTTCCATGTCAGAAGGCTGAGAAAAGGCAAATGACTAACTTAAAATTTATATAATTCCTGAACTGTTACTTATTCATCAATTTCTGCCTTCTGCACTCTATGCAGTTAATAAACATTTTAGGACAAAGGGAAGGATCTGAAAGAAGGGAGAGAAGAAAAAAAGAAGGAAGGGGGAAAAGGGAGGGGCTTGAGAAAGCGGGGGCGGTCAGCTCTGGAGGGAGCTGCAGGAAACCACCTTTTAGTAATTTGACTTTTCTACCTGTGCACATTCAAAAAAATCACTTGTTATCATCTTCAGTAAAAGAGACAAAAATATTTTCTAACAGCCTACAAATTGTAACATCAAAAGCACTACTCACACTAAATACCATATTTGGTAAAGGTGAGCAGACAGAGAAGTAGCCTTGCTAAATCCAACAACCAAAAAAGCAGAAAGCAGCAGCGTGTAGCAATGACAGGAGTTTCAGGTTTCAGAAATCTCCAGCCAAGGGTTATCTCTCTCTCTCTCTCACTCTCTCTCCACCCCAGCAAGGATAACTGTGTTTCCTCTTTTGTTGATTTCTCACCTCACAAGTCATTTGCTTTGTTCCTTCCAAACTCAGAAACTCTTCAGCGTTCTGAGAGCAGAATTGCTGATGGTGCTTCCACGCTGGAGGCCCTAATACAAACGCTGCTACCCCGCCGGATGGGGTCGTGAGCAGCTGCCGAGAGCTGTCCGACATCATTGCCTGGATGCTGCTCTTCAGACTTCTGGCTTCACAGCTGTGTCTAGCTTTCTTCTCTCATTTCTGCTGAATGGAAGCTGTCAGAGGGGTCAGACGAATCTATGCCATATTTCCCTTTGATCCTGTCAACAGCAAACAGGATGTTTAAGAAAACCCACAACTCAAAAATTATTAAGATCACGACCATGCCTACACACACAAACACACACACAAGCTGCATGAATGTATAATGAGGCAATGAAAAAGCTTTAGTAGTAGCTTTTCTACCTTCATAAAAGTCTCCTAAAGTCCAATAGTTGGAAACCTTGGTTTGCTTTCCAATGACAGTGAACCCTGTCTGGTTTTTTGGAAAATGTTGTTGTGGCTTATGTTATTGTTTGTTTACAGTTTCCTTATTTGTTTGTTGCTTGTTTGTTGTTGGAGCCTCTCAATGGAGAATTACATACAAAATTTACCACCATCAATTCCCTCAGCAGTGCATTTTGTTTGACTAATCTCACTGGGTTATTTGATATGCCACAAACATTTTCTCTATGTAATTCACAGTTAACACTCAGTCAAAATCAAGGGCCAAAATACATGGAAAATGTGCTGTGGGAAAGTTCCAATTACAGGTGTTTTACCACAGCAAACTGGATAATGTTTATACTTCATCTTTCCACAAACACTTTACCAAAGCATGTGCGGATCTAACCATGGGACCCAAGCCTGCTCAACAGGTGGCCCATTTGGAAAGCACTACTCTCAAGTCCTACTCTATGAAGTTTGCCAAATTCCCACAAGCAAGCAAGAGAGTCAAAACAGAACTGCTGCTGTAGCCAAAGTTCATCCACATTTCTTCCTCAACCCACCTTCAGCAACATCACCTCCAGATTTGGGACCTGAGCTGTCAGAAAACATACAAATCATCTCCATGGTCATCTCAAGAAGACTGCTGAAAAATTAAAACTAGCTTCATCTTATGGTTCATAATGACTACCAAACAAACAATCCTTAGTACTTGCCTATAAGTTAAGGGTTTTTCAATAAACAAACTTATCAGAGAAAGAGCACTTAATATGTGAGACTGACCTAATAAATAACCACTAAATTGAACTAGCCAAAAGAATTCTTTTGTTTTTCATGACTTAAGCATATCACTTAACCTCTTCCTGCTTCTGCTTCCCAGGTTATGATAGAAAGTGGTTAAGACAACTAGAGTGTCTCCCTGGCTGAGGTGTGGTTCTTAGCTACGGTGCCTAGTTAGTATAGCAGACCATAAAAAAGATTTAAATAACAAGCAGGGTATATCTATGAAGTAGAACACGGAGTAAGTCAATTTATTAAAATAATTTTCTATTAGAATTAATTTCTATAGATAGCTTTGAGGAATTCTAATTAAAGATTTCTATTCCTCCCCCAGTCTTTTCCTGTACTCAATATGTATTTTCTTGTTAAGAGATTACAAAAACGGTTCTGAGTACATACATATCTATAGAACCTCAATAATAAAACAGATTTATTGCATATTTTCATTTAGTTATATATTATATCTTGGCCACTGTTGGGCCAAGGAGGGAAAGGAGTGGGGAGGGGTTTGGCAAAACATTAAATGGATGTCCAGGATGAAATGATTTCCTCGTAAAGGAATGTGTGTAAGTCACCTAAAATGACATTGTTTCACAGAATTAAAAGTAAAACTTGATTTAAACTTGATTTATTGAAAAAGAATAAGAACATAAACAATGCCGAGTATTATATAACATAAGTCTGTTACATTGAGTATCTTATTACTCTATGTATTGTGTTAGTAATATTGCACCAGAAACAGTAATCAGAAGCAGCTCGGAAGGGAAATGTCCTCTTTATCCCATTTAAAATGAGAGCACGATCTTTAGGCATCGTGTGACACTGTCAGAATATCTTGTGGGACTGTTTCTTGGGTTCTCTTTCTCTGATTAGAGCAAATGTCTGTAATGTAGCAGAGCTGTCTAAACCAAGTTCCTAATAGGAAAAGACACAAAACCTTTTCTGATTGGAAATTCTGATGCCTGTTTCTACTAGGCTTGCCTTGCGCAGCTTGTCTATTGAATGGTGCTGTCTCTTTCTAACTGCAAAAAAACAAATAAGGTTCACGCTCAGGTTTAATTTGGCTTTCAAGCTCCAACGTATTCCCTTGTGCTTGTTTATTGCACATCCACAGCTGTTATTTTCCTTTCTTCTGTTTGCTGTTTCTTCCACAGTTAGCTAATAGCACTGAGCTATCATTCCTCCTGTTTGCTTCCGCTGTGTGTGCCTCCTGTTTTCATTGATGAGCTTGTCCTGACCCTGATGATTAACTAAATATTTTTTCTTCAAAATTAATTTTTTCCAAATATGCTCCAAAAATATTGTTTTCCTTTTCACCCTGACTTTATTCCCTTCAAAAATGAATGAGTAAAATAAAAATCTTATCAAATGGCAATATGCCCGATGTTGCATAGTCAATAAGATTTCACTCAGCATTTTCTCTTGTTCTTCTTATCCTCTGTAGCTCAAGACTAAAAACAAAATACTAAATGATTGATTATCTTAATGGTCTTACTGGAAAAGCAGCAACTAGTTCCTAAATTTCCACATGTTGAATTGCTCAAATTTTACAAACTCAGAAAATTAGAAACAAAATAAACTTAGAAACACTCAGGTGACAATTCATTGGGGGTTTCTGAAGTAGTAAAGTCAAGTGGTGTCATTCTTTCTTAATATTATAATTCTCAAATAATCAAGTGTGATTTTTCACTCTACCAAGGATTCTATCTTCTCTCAAACGCCAATTCAATAGTTCTTTTTTTTTGAAATTTAATTGATTTATGTATGTATTCATTCATTCCACAGATTTTCAATAGATATTTGGTGCCAGATAAGTATAACTTCAAAAGAAAATGTATGGAGAATAGACTATTGGATAAAAACTTAGAAGACCATTGAAAGTTTGGCACCAGGCTACCTACCCACTGCCCAACCTTGCACCACTCTGTATCAGCCTCCTTTATCAGCATGGGCTACCTGTCAGTGAACAGACACAGATCCCTATATGCCAGAGTATGTGCAGTATGTCCGCAGGAGGCTGGGGTCAAATTCCAGTGCTACCACTGTTAGCCATAGAACCTCAAAAAACATGTTAACATGACTCTCTTTCTCTGAGAAATGAGAAAATAATAGTATCTCTCTCATAAATTCTCATCAACTGAGCCCATAAGTTAAAGCACTTAGAACAGTGCTTGATACAGAGCAATGCTGTAGGGGCTGGTGTCTGTAGCATAAGAGGTTAAGCTGCCACCTGCAAGGCCAGCATTACATATGGGTACCAGTTCAAGCCCCAGTTGCTCCACTTCTGATCCAGCTCCCTGCTAATGCACCTCAGAAAGCAGCAGAAAATAGCCCAAATGCTTATGCCCCTGCACCAATATAGGAGATCTGGAAGAAGCTCCTGGCTTCGGCATGGCCCAGCCCTGGTCACTGAGGCCATTCGGGGAGTGAACCAGTGAATGAAATCTCTCTCTTTTTTCCCCCAGAAACCTTTTATTTAAGGAATACAAATTTCATATATTTCATAATCACAACTTTAGGAACATGGTGATTCTTCTTCCCACCATACCCACCCTCCCCCCTACACTACCACCCCTCTTCTTCCTCCTTCTTCTATTCCCATTCTTATTTTTTAATAAGATCAATTTTCAATTAACTTTATACACATATGATTAACTCTATGTTAAGTAAAGAGTTCAACAAATAGTACAAAAAAAAAAAAAAAAAACCTTCCACTTCCTCAACAGTTGAGAAAAGGGCTGTTTAAAGCCATTGCTCTCAAAGTCTCAATTGTACTTCTATAGATTGCCTTTTAGGTGCTATATTAGTTATAACATGTCAGGAAGAACATATGGTATTTGTCCTTCTGGGACTGGCTTATTTCACTAACTATGATGTTTTCAAGTTTCATACATTTTGTGGCAAACGACCAGATTTCATTTTTTTTACTGCTATGTAGTATTCCATGGTGTACATATCCCATAATTTCTTTATCCAGTCTCTAGTTGATGGGTATTTGGGTCAATTCCATATCTTAGCTATTGTGAATTGAGTTGCTCTTTCTCTCCCCCCACTCTGTAACTCTGCCTTGTCAAATAAACAAAATAAATCTTTTGTGTGTGTATATATATATGTGTGTGTGTGTGTGTGTGTTTAAGATTTATTTTATTTATTTGACAGACAGAGTTAGAGAGAGAGAGAGAGAGAGAGAGAGAGAGGCCTTCCATCTTCTTTCCATCCTCTGGTTCACTTCCCAGATGACTGCAACGGCCAGAGCTAAGCTGATCCAAAGCTAGGAGCCAGGAACTTCTCCCAGGTCTTCCACACAGGTGCAGGGGCCCAAGGGCTTGAGCCACCTTCTACTGCTTTCCCAGGCCAGAGCAGAGAGCTGGATCGGAAGTGGAGCATCCAGGTCTCGAACCGGTGCCCACATGGCATGCCGGTGCCGCAGGCTGGGGCTTTAACCTGCTGCACCACAGCACCAGCCCCAGAATGTTGTATATATTTTTAAATAATGTCTTTAAATTATGCATGTCATGAAAAAGTAAGTGAATTTGTGCATATGTAGAATGCTTAGAGCTGAGACTCAAATGCTAAATGAAGATTACTATTCTGCCAGAGTATGTGCAGGACTTCTCTGCAGTTCTTACAGGTATTTCATGCTATGAGACCCTGTCACCAAATCATGACTGGTTTGACCAGATAAAAAGCACCTGACCAAAAGAAGATAATCCACTATGAGTAACTGGACTAATCTGACCACCGTTCTGGAATTTTCACTGAGAATATACAAATGAGTTGCCAAAGTAATCAGGTAGTAAGAGCTAGACTGAGTATTGACACAGTAAAAACAGCAGGGACTGTGAAACTAGCTGAGTCATAGTCCCATCCATCCATCAAAGTATTTCCTTCCTGACCTACACATTGCAGCCATAACCTATCTTACGGTCATTTCTGAAAACATTTCCATGCCTTTATTTCGTGCTGGTCTCTCAGTATGAAATGTTCTTTTTCATTCTTTCTGTCTACCTCAAGTAATGATTACAACAGTGAGAACAATCGACAGATCACAATA